GCGAGGGAGGGAGGAGGGGAAAACTGAATTCAGATGAGGATTGAGAGTCGAAAACGGTACAACGAATCATCTTCTTTCTCTAATGATTTAATGAAACGTAAAAGCTTCCGAGCTTTGCGCGGGAGAGGGGGATGAATTAAGACGAGGATTAAGAGTAAAAAACTGTACAACGAATCGTCTTCTTTTTCTAATGATTTAATGAAACGTAAAAGCTTCCGCGCTTCGCGCGGGAGGGGAAAAACTATTTTCAGACGAGTAGGCACGTACGGAAGGGGGGAGGGGGTTAGGGGGTTGACCCTTCCCCCTTCGGTTTTTTTTGTGTGTATTTTGGAGCAACCCCCCCCCCCCTTTTCTGTGATTTTTTTTTTTTTTTTTTAATTTAAAGAAAATAACAAAAATATGCCAATGGCTGACCTAAAAAAGGTGACCTCACCCCCCCCCCCCCCAACGGAACAAAATGTCCAATTTTCAAATTTCGAGACCAAAAAGAAAAAGTGTCCCCCCCCCCCCCCCCCCCCCCCCCCCCCCCTAAGAAATCCTGGATCCGCGCCTGGCTGCCGGCACGTCAAGCTACTTTGCTTATTTCTGTAGCCCTCCTGCATCTAATGTATGTTAATTATGCATTCAATATATTTGTTTAAATTCAATACATTTGTTTAATATCGTTTATTATCTGTATAAAATTATATACACTTGAAATATTGTATCAAGCCATGTTATGTTCATGAAAATGTATGATGAAAAAAAGAAAAAAGATGCAGAAACCAATAAATCAAATAAAATAAAATAAAATCAAAATAACGTCCCTAGGTCAAAAATGGTTTAAAGAATTACATTTTTGTTTAGAACTTTAGTACGCGTCATCAGGTTTTGTCCAAGTCGGAGGGTGCATGCGATCTCTGCTTGACGACTATGATAACGCTTCATCGCCGCCGGGATGCCCGTGCGAACTGTGATCCATGGTCTAGACATGACGGCGTCCGCGGACTGCTGCGATGTGCTGGCTCGTCGAAGACGAGGAATCTCGAAAGCGCAAAGGACTCTGTTGCGGCCTTGCATCCCCATAAAACAAATTAAGTATACTTCAAGTATCAATTATAAGCCTTTTTATGAAGCGTCAGTCCCGTTTTGGAAAGAATTTAATAAAAGTGAATAAATTGCTCATTTTTTAGCACATCAACTGAGATTTTGTCGGACGCTCTACTGACTTAGCCAACACACCGGTAAGAGCCAACGCACTGGTTATTATTATCATATAAGTGTATTTGAACGATTGGATAATAAAACCTCAAATAAACAGTACGATGGACCAAGCTGTTGTGACAATGATACATAGATATACATCAATCATCCAGTACATGCATTGAATATCCGTATTCAGTAAAGAAGACTTGCATTAAAAATGGGTTTCTACCCTTATAGAAATTTGGATTATGTGAAAGAAAAGCCAGAAAATTAGGTTTAATTTACACAGGTAAATATAGCTTCATGTAAATGTTTGACACATGTAAGCCTGGGGTACAAATGCCTAGACTGAGTTAGATGACTCCATAGAAAATTAACAAAGCATAATACATTTTACCAAACATTTCTATTTTTAAGTAATATGGACGCATGGATAATCTTGAATAACAGTAATTGATAACATGAAATAATATTCTATAAACCATTCAGTACAAAAATAGAAAGTAGATCTATTTGACAGCTAAGCTTGCTGTGTGTAGGTTCACTTAATTATACGACTGACCTCAAATACAGACAAAACAATGACTATACTAGACTGAGACCCCACAAAATGTAAAACAACATATATGTTACGGGTAAATTGAAAAGAGAGAGAAATATAAAACACATGAAAGACAGAAATTGCAGAGTTTGTTTCTCTCCTTCCTTTTACCTTGATACGAGGGAGCTAAAGCAATAAAGATTTTTTTTTTCCCAATACCTTTTTTCTCTTCTATTCCCGTATAATTACAAGGCAGCCATATGAAATAACACATATAAAATCAAAGTCACAATAAATGTATTTTCTTTCCCTTCTTTTCTAACTGAATACGAGTGAGCTGTAAGAAGAATAACAAATACAAGAAATAAATTACAATATCAATATATACTTTTTGTTTTTTGCCTTTCTGTCTTACTCTTTTTTCTCACCTAAATACATTGGATATGTAGAATATTACACATGGAAAAATAATGCCGACAAATTACAATATCTATATATGATTTTTTTTTCTTTCCCGTTTTTTCCACAAGAACATGCTATATCGAATTTACAAATATACAATTTTTCTTCTTTCCAATCTTTCTTTCTCTTCTTTCTCACCTCAATAAATGGGAGTTGTATTACCCAACACATGGTAAAATAATGCCGACAAATGGAGGGAATCATGTGATATGGTATCTTAGAACACGTGTAGAAATGGCAAAATATAATATTGGCGTACAAAGAAAACAATTGTGTTCAATAACACACATAATGCCTTTTTTGTTCAAGGTACAGAGACCAAGACAATGAATTGCAAAGAAATGGGATAAAAATGAAATAACAATTATAGTCAAGTTGTTAGAATTAATTCATTTTATCTTAGAACATGTGTATAAAAAAAACAAGAAATTAAAAAATATTGTAACATACAATATAGGCGTACAAAGAAAACAATTGTGTTCAATAACACACATAATGCCTTTTTTGTTCAAGGTTACAGAGACCAACACAATGAATTGCAAAGAAATGGGATGAAAATGATATAACAATGATAGTCAAGTTGTTAGAATTAATTCATTTTATCTTTAAAAAAACTAGAAATTATAAAATATTGTAACATACAATATAGGCGTACAAAGAGAACTATTTTGATCAATATTATAATGCCTTTTTCTTCAAGGTTACAGAGACCAACACAATGAATTTCAAAGAAATGGGAGGAAAATGGGATAACAATTGTAGTCAAGTTGTTAAAATTTATTCATTTTATCTTAGAACATGTGTTTAAAAAAACTAGAAATTGTAAATATTGTAACATACAATATAGGCGTACAAAGAGAACTATTTTGATCAATATTATAATGCCTTTTTGTTCAAGGTAACAGAGACCAACACAATGAATTTCAAAGAAATGGGAGGAAAATGGGATAACAATTGTAGTCAAGTTGTTAAAATTTATTCATTTTATCTTAGAACATGTGTTTAAAAAAACTAGAAATTGTAAATATTGTAACATACAATATAGGCGTACAAAGAGAACTATTTTGATCAATATTATAATGCCTTTTTGTTCAAGGTAACAGAGACCAACACAATGAATTTCAAAGAAATGGCAGGAAAATGGGATAACAATTGTAGTCAAGTTGTTAAAATTAATTTATTTTATCTTAGAACATGTGTTTAAAAAAACTAGAAATTGTAAATATTGTAACATACAATATAGGCGTACAAAGAGAACTATTTTGATCAATATTATAATGCCTTTTCGTTCAAGGTAACAGAGACCAACACAATGAATTTCAAAGAAATGGCAGGAAAATGGGATAACAATTGTAGTCAAGTTGTTAAAATTAATTTATTTTATCTTAGAACATGTGTTTAAAAAAACTAGAAATTGTAAATATTGTAACATACAATATAGGCGTACAAAGAGAACTATTTTGATCAATATTATAATGCCTTTTCGTTCAAGGTAACAGAGACCAACACAATGAATTTCAAAGAAATGGCAGGAAAATGGGATAACAATTGTAGTCAAGTTGTTAAAATTAATTTATTTTATCTTAGAACATGTGTATAAAAAACTAGATATTATAAAATATTGTAACATACAATAAAGGTCTACAAAGAGAACTATTTTGATCAATATTATAATGCCTTTTCGTTCAAGGTTACAGAGACCGAGACAATGAATTTCAAAGAAATGGCAGGAAAATGGGATAACAATAAAGTCAAGTTGTTAGAATTAATTCGTTTTATCTTAGAACATGTGTTTAAAAAAACAAGAAATTGTAAAAAAAATATTAGTACATATAATATAGGCGTAAAAAGAGAACAATTGTGATCAATACCACACATAATGCCTTTTTGTGAAAGGTTACAGAGACCAAGACAATAAATAGCAAAGGAATTGTAGGGAAATGGGATAATAATTATCCTCAAGTTGTTAGAATTAATTCATGTGTCCAATAATACTAATTGTTTTGTTTTTTATTTTCAATTTTTTTCTTCAGATTAAGTGTAATCATTTAAAAGATGAGAAACATTCTTTCTTCACAATTCTGATACAGCATTTATAGTAATACATACTAAGAAGTTAAAAGATAAGAACAGAAATAATATAACTCATATCCGAATATAATTTATTTCTAATGGCTACTGTTGTGGTCTGAAGCATTTACAAAGTGAAGTAATAACATATCAATTAATTAATATTAAAGATAGTTACCACTTCCAGAGAAATGCAAAGATGTAGGTTTTTTCCGAAGTGTTCCAGTTAACGTCCCTAGATCAATAATGGTTTGGAGAATTACATTTTTGTTTGAAACTTTAGTACGCGTCATCAGGTTTTGTCCAAATCGGAGGGTGTATGCGATCTGTGCTGGACGACTATGCTAACGCTTCATCGCCGCCGGGATGCCCGTGCGAACTGTGATGCACGGTCTAGACATGTCGGCGTCCGCGGACTGCTGCGATGTGCTGGCTCGTCGAAGACGAGGAATCTCGAAAGCGCGAAGGACTCTGTTGCGGTCTTTGTATCCCCATAAAACAAATTTAGTATACTTCAAGTTTCAATTATAAGCCGTTTTATGAAGCATTAGTCCCGTTTCGTAAAGAATCAAGTTTTTATCGAAGCTGAAAACTGAGTAAAATGCCCACAAACTTTGACTTTAGTACTGAATAAATCAATGCAGCCTAGGTATCTACGAAATACATTCACCATGAATCATATCCAACGATTCCAAAGGACTATTACTTTCCAAATGATAAAATCTTCACTTGACAAATTGACTGAGTGACAACTTTGGTGTCTGCCAAAAGTTCCTCTTCATTTTTATCACCGCCATTTTGAGCCTTTAGGATGTACTTTATCCTGTGTAGCACTTTCTGTCGAAGACGCTTAGGCATGGCCAGTCGCGAGTGCGCGACCCACATGTGGAGGTAATGCTCAAACGCGTCCTTCACAGAATGTCCGCAATCCTCGCATACGTATATCTTTTCTCGCCGCTCCTTGAATGTGAAGGCGAGTGGCATCTCGTGCACTTTGTTGACGTGTGTCTCAAGGGAGCAGCGCTGAGTGAAAGAACGTGCACACTGGCTGCACTTGTACGGTCTGACACCTGTGAAGACATTAATCGAGTAAATGATAAATAAGACCATTAGTATAACTTCGAGAGAGATATTAAATTATTAGTACACCAGAATCTGGTTGATACTACTGCAAGAATTTTCTAATTACGCGATCTCCTTCTATATGCACAAGCCGAAGATAGTATGTTCCCGAAGTCGGACACCTGGCGAAATATTGCACATTCTCGAATTTGTTCGGGTCTACGAAATCTACGGCTTGCATTGCAGTAGGTATAGGAGCTCCCATTGGAGAGATTCTTAAAATGAAATCGGTCAGATTATGGACTAAGCAAGACTCTTGTCTGTGGAAGAGGCTACTTCCATCAATACAAGGGTTTGTTCAGATATCTACAGGAGAAGACAACGTACATGATTTCCAAGTTTTGAAAATTATTTAAAAAACACTGTGGCGAGTACAAGCCATTCGAAATCAAAATATGTCCATACTAAGGCTAGGTATTGCAATTTTCAGTAGAAGAATGTTTCTATAATAGTGTTGAAATTAAGGTCTAGAAAGCTATCAATGATGTTGTAAAAGGATAGCAAAGTTCCGAAATATCCTTCACAAGCAAAACGATGTTTTGTATAGGTAAATATGGCCTGCCATAGTCCGTTTAAAAGAAGTTCTGGCCGATTGAGCTACAGTCATGTACGAAAGCTTAACATTAGATTTTTAGAAATAAAGATTTCGTACAAGCGAGATTTGCAATATAACAAGATTTATACCTGTGTGTGTTCGGTAGTGCCTCTTCAGGTCAAACTTGTCATGAAATCCCTTTCCACAAAAGCCGCAGATATGTGGCTTTGTCTGGCTGTGGTATGTAGTCATATGTTTGGTGTATGCTCTTTCCGTCAGGAAGGTGCTAAAGCACTGGCTGCACCTGGGTTTTGGTTTTATGCCATTAACTGGTGTAGGTTCGTCTCCTGCAAAAGAGTATGTTGGTTTAGTGCTTGGCAGAGAGGCGGAGTCAGGTGTTGTAAGACCATTATAGGGAAGTTTGTTTGGTGACATTGATTCTGTACCATACACTGCTTGAGTGTGCGTATCGTTAGCGACGTTTGGCGTAGGTATGTTCGACACGTTTTGTGTTGTAGGGCCATTAGAGGAAGGTTTATTTGATGACATTGTTTCTGTATCATATGCTGCCAGAGAGCGCGCATCGTTCACGATGTTTGGTGTAGGTATGATCGATACATCTTGCACTCTTTTCAGTTGACACCCTTTTTGACACTGTGTAGGGTTCTGCCCAGACGGTACTGCCGACTCAAGGACTGTAGTTGTGGGTACTTCTGATGTCACACAAACTGGCACGGAACTTTGTGGGCCTCTAATGCTGGTAGGTCTTGATACGGGAGGTATCCAAACATCATTGGATTGCATTCGATTGGTGGATGAAACTGTTGATCCTTGATGCATGAATTGTGGAAGCTCCCGAACTAAGCTATTCTTACCGACAGACTGAGGTTGTAGAGTTGTCATATTGGTTGATTCAGCGTCTTGCGATAAGACTCTTGTACGTGGTGTGGATGTAGGATATAGATACTGTTGTCTCAAATTGGTCTTGTTCGGAGGCTGTACTCCTGGTGAAATAGATTGTGAAACCGTCGGTGGGAGACGCCAGGAAGGTAGACATCTAGAGGCACTTGGAGTCTGGGAAGCACTTGCCCATCCTTGGGTTGTAAGGACCGGAGGTGTCCCGGACTCTGAGCCGACACTACCTTCATTACTCCATCCTTCTTGGTATACGGGTGGCGGATTACGACTAGATGCAATGCGTTTTTCTGATGGATGCAACTTGATCCCTCTATCATCGAAGTTGGTATCTTTCCCAGATTGTGGAAAGGCGTTCAGAGCAGGACATACAGATATGTCTTTGTAAGGACCTGGTGACATTTGCATATGATTTGCAACGGAACCATCTGGACATGAGTCTTTGCGATATTGATGATGTCTACTTGAGAGGAATGCTGAATCTCGGGTGACTCCTTGGTAATGGTTTGAGGTCTGAAGCTCCACGAGAAGATCTTTTATCAGGTCGCGTTTCATCATAGCTTCAGCGTAATAGGACTTCAACAAAGACATGCAAGTTGCCCGGCTCGGCTGCTTCCCTGTTTCATCCTGTATTACCTGAGTGAGATCTTCAAGCGAAAATAATCTGTTACCTGTAGGCCCCTTAGACTGAAAGCGATGAAACTTCCGTGATCCTTCTTTTGAGGCACCTGAAGTAAGTGACATGTGTTCTTCATGACGCCTTGGTGGGTAGCCTTCCCTGTGAACGTCACCTATATGGTCTGGTTGCGCATTTATAGAGGAACAACTGGTTTCAGTAGAGACATCTAGGGCATACTGATGCTTGGGTTCTGTATTAAACTTGTGGCTGATATTCCAATCGCGGGGGTTACGATAAAGGTCAGGTATTGCTTGATGCTGATACGTGCTAGGCGGTACAAAACTATCCTGTATGGTGTAGAAAGAAAGGGAAAGAAATATTTTCTCGTGTAAGCGAATATTTGCTATCGGAAAGTTATATTACATGAAAAACTATTCAAGGACTTTAAAAAAAATTAGACCCACAGCATTTTTTAAAGGTAATACAAACTTTTGGTATGGGGTCATGAATTTTGTTCAAATGAACATATTGGAATCATATGCGATCCTACAATATTCAGTGTCCATTGTCGCGGTTGAAATCGAGTCTAAAGGTATGAAATTGTAAATAATAAACTCCGTATGTTGTATAGCTCCCTCTTAAGGACAAGATATTAGTTAAGTTGTAAAACAATGTTTCTTGACTAAAATTGGCCGATTAGCTATTCCCGTTTGGAAATTATATATCACAACTACATATTCTGAGATTTTCATGGTCGCAGCTACCATTATACAGCCGTAGGCGCCATTTGAAATTTATCAAAATTTACCGGGAGCACCGGTAAATTCGTATATTCTATTTTTCTCGAAAGCAGGGGTGTTCTAGGGGCTACATTTTCTAGTGCTTATAAAACATCCACAGGGGCATCCAAATATATCAAAATTGTAAAGAATCACTATTTACCCAATTTTCAAAATTTCCAAAAACTTTGAATTGCATATCAATAGAAGGATGACTTTGCAAGATTTTCCACATGCCTTTTGTACTCACTGCCACGCATTGACCTTTTAAAGTTGATTGCCTTGTGGTCGATACGTTGAAGCTGTGCCTGACTGGTTAGCAAAATACACAGTGCTAAACATTACAGGAGTGTTTCACAAAACCCTGATTTGGGCCTCTTTTTCGTGAAAATAAATGCTCATGCGAACAAAAGAGCTTTTGACGTCTATTTTGTTTGATATTTGATTGATTCTATTTCTGCATCTTTTCGCAGAAAAAAAAAGCAATATACAAACAAGGTGCATATACTGCTTATAATTATCGGCTTGCATGGTGATGTAGATATAGGCTTACGGTTGTTCCATGTGACAGAGGGGTGGACGGTTGCACCATGTGAGACAGGTGTAGGATTGGTGCAACCGTAAACCTACTTTATACACATATATATTATTAAAAATGTATTTCCTTCATGTTAATATAAATTGACACCTATGGTATTCAGCTATTAACATCAACAGCAATTGTACTGTTTGTATATAGTATTTATCAATGTATTCTATCACATCCTTCTTATTTTGATTCCTATGTTTTTATAATTTTTCTAGGAAATCAATAATATTGTTCCACAATTTTGATAACTTCCAATCGTATCAATAATAGTGTTCCACAATTTTGATAACTTCTAATCTTATTAATAATAATGTTCCACAAGCTTGCTAACTACCAATATTTCCGTATCCATATGACTGTGTAAACATGGGAAGAGATGTTCAGTGTAAAAGACCCATCTATGAAATGTAAAATGTTTTTAGATACAATTCAGTCTCAGTTGGATATACATGTTCCTACTAAGGAGATTCGTTTGCATTGTAGAGATAAGCCTTGGATAAATGCTGAAGTTAAAGATGTTATCCGCCAAAGACAGCAAGCTTTTAATAACAAATCAAAAAGTTGGTGGCATCATCTAAGAAACAAGGTTAAACGGTTGATAAAACGACAGAAGATTTCATATTATAACACCAGAGTTCGCAACTTAAAAAATGACAGCCCAGCAGCTTGGTATAAGCAGATTCGGATTTTAACAAATACTGAAAAGAAACATACTCCAATTGTAGTACCAAATATTGACCCGAATGATCCCGACAAATTCAAATATATTGCTAATTATATAAACGAGCATTTTTTAGCGGTGGCATCTGATCTTCCAGGTCTCAGTAGGAATGATTTACCTGCTTACTTACCAGCTCAGGAAACATGTCCGATTGTATGACCTTATGAAGTTTTTAAACAATTGAGTTCGTTAAACCAACAAAAGTCTGTTATAAGTGGAGACTTACCAGTGCGAATTCTTAGAGAATTTGCACTGGAATTTTGTACACCTCTTACTGATATCTTAAACACTTCTTTCCAGTTGTCAGTGGTACCATATCAGTGGAAACGATGTGAGATTACGCCAATTCCTAAATGTAAGCCTGTAATACCTCAGAATTTAAGACCTATAGCACTAACTAGTTATTTTGCGAAAATAGCAGAGTCTTATATATGTAAATGGTTACTCGAAGACATTTCATTTCAAATTGATATTAATCAATACGGAAACCGTCAAGGTCTGTCAACTAATCATTACTTAATTCGTTTGCTTCACCAGATTTATAAAAATGCAGAACATTCTCGGTCCATATCTACACTTATATTCACAGACTTTTCAAAAGCTTTTGATCGTATGTTCATGTTCGGCCTTGTATTATTTCATGGATCTTAGATTTTATTGAACACCGTCAACAACGTATGAAATATCTTAGTCATTTTTCAGACTGGTCAACGTCTCATGCCGGTGTAGCACAGGGTACAAAATTAGGACCAATTATTTTCCTAATAATGATAAATGATGCTTGTTTTAACTCAGAAATACCATACTTCAAGTATGTAGACGATCTGACATTAGTTGAAAGTCGTACATTATCACAACCATCTAAATTACCAAATACTTTATCTGATTTTTATCAATGGTCTCTTCGTAATAATATGACTCTTAATCCATCGAAATGTCATTGTATGTTTATCTCTTTTTCTAAGAATATAGCTGATCAGAGACCTTTTTTTATTGGGGATGAGTGCTTAAACAGTGTACAAAAAGCAAACATTTTAGGAATAACTGTGCAGTCCGATTTGAAATGGGACAGTCATATCTCAGACCTTTTATGCCGTGCTAATAAAAAAAACTTTTCATGCTTCGTATTCTCAAAACATACAGATTGCCATTCTGTGATCTAGGAACAATTTACAAGGGATATATTCGTCCAATATTGGATTATGGAGTACCTGTTTTTAACGGAAACCTCACCCAAAGTCATATCTTAAGTTTGGAACGAATCCAGAAAAGAGCATGTAGGACCATATTAGGTGATCAATATATTAATTATGACAAAGCTCTTGAAGTGTGTTCTTTGCAGACCCTGTCAGATAGACGCAAACAATTATGCACTAATTTTGCTTCATCTCTTGTCAACAACCCACTTTGTAAACATTGGTTACCTGTTAACAATAATGTAGATTGACCAACAAGAAGGACCAAGTATCGTCAATTTCATTGTAAAACGAACCGCTATAGAAATAGCTCAATTCCGAACCTAATAGACCTGTTGAATGCATGAATGAATCTTTATTGTCTACCTGTTGAATGGTCCGGTGTCTCATTGTCTGCATACATTTTTACATTTTTACATTTTTACATTTTACATTCCGCATTTTAAATTTTAAATTCTATGCTTCCATAATTACTTGTAACATCTTTTTAAAATGAACATTGAATAGTGATAAGGTTTTGTAGCAATCATGACATGGCAATTCAGATCAGATGGTGTTCAAGTTTTTAATTCATTTGCTTATTTCTCCCCAATGTACGAAAGTCGGGAAGGAGCTTACTTGTTTTGTTGTTCATTTTTTTGAAATACCCGACACTCCTTGACACAAGAGAAGTCCAAGGATGAGCGAGCAGACCGTTAGCTAGTGTATGGGAGTGTGAATGGGAGTGTGTATAAGAGTGTAAATGTGAGTGTTTATGAGAGTGTCCAAGGTACAGGAGTGAGAATAGGAGCGTGTATAGGAATGAGAGCGTGTATTGAAGAGCAAAGGGCCTGCTTGCTCATCCTTTGACCCACTCTTGTGTCACCTCACAAAATATATTTTAAATGTGACTTAATTTGCCTGTTATTGCCTTAGTCATATTAGTTATGAACTTTGTTATGAATTTTGTTATGTACTGTATATTATACTTTGTGACAATGTCAACCACATTTGTATGTATTATAATTCATTGCCAATGTAAATTGTTCATAATTCAGCCATCTGGCTGCGAAGTGCAATTAATAAAATCTTTTCAATCTCAAATCTCAAAATACAATTTCCTGCGTTTAGCATGCATTTATCATACATACATAGTTTGAAAAGCTCTTTTTTCAAACCTTTTTGAAAATAGTCCTAACAGTATATTGATCCATATTACCGTATAGTAACAGATATTCTGCTGTATTTGTGTATCATATACCAAATTTAGTCTGAATACATTATTTTTAACGCATGACATTATTGTATAAAATAAAAATATTTGCTACTGATCTCCCACACATGTGCCTAATATGAGGGTTAATTTTAGTTACACATTCATGTATATGTTTACCTTATCTTTATATTTTGTTTAATGTATGCACCAGCCAATGTGGTCAGCCTCCCGACATAATTTTTAATTTCTTTTAGGTAATCCCCATCATTAGCTGGTGCTAAATATCATGCTATTAATGTTATATCATTTTGTCAACATTGTGATGTTTTCTAGGTATTGTTATGATCTTGCCTAGAAATTCAATAAATACAAATATAGTAATTCCATTTCCTCAGGTAAGACCCAGACTCCTAAATCATTTGTTTCTTCATTTATTATGAAGTGAAATGTTACGTGGGAGTACAATTTATGCTTAGAATTAAGAGAAAATTAAACGTGTAGATAGAAAGTAGATTAGTTGAGGATATATTCTTTATATACGGATTTTTAACAGGTGTATAAATAAAGGGCAAAAATATATCGACTTCTTAAAAAATTAAAAAAATTAAAAGAAAAGATTGGGCATATTTGAAGAAATTTTTCTTCCCCAAAGAAAGGATGAAACATTTAGCTAGGCGATTTCCCCCAAGTGACCAAACTTTAAATATAGGAAAGTGATAGCGGGCAGTTTGTAAATTTTAACTTGTAATATTGTTTTTTTACTGTGTCTTTTTTTTAAGGAAACCTTTAGATTTGGATTAACAAATAAAACTGTCATGGACAACTTTAGAGCTGAAATTCTGAACATTCCAAGCCGATGAATTTATTAAAATGTCACACAAAATACAGAAATATTTTAGCGTGGTTTCCTTAAAATTGGGAGAAAATTACGAACTAATCAATCTTTGAATATCGATCCATTAATTGGCAACTTGTTTGAAAAGTGTGATGTCAAAGGTAATCTCCTCACATTTTGTTTTGTAATCTTGCTATGAACTCGATTTTCTTTTCTTTTTCCTCATGATATTCTCAATGCATTGCCATAACTTCATAAGAAGAAAAAATAAGTATGGTAACATGTCATTTAATATTTTTGTCTATGGAATGCCATTACATAAAATTCCGGAAAGGGATATTTCTGATGAATTCAATTATGTATGAATATGTATTTCATCATTATTAGTGTTAATGGGATAGGGCAACTTTGTCTCAGATTCTGAAACAAAATCCTGGATTTAGCTCATGCTGCAATGATAATTATAAACCTTTAGGTCAATCAGGAACACATGAATTTCATAAGCCGATCGCCTGTCTGATTATCAAGAAATTTATGACTTGAAAACGAAATTTCAAAAATCGTTTTCCTAACGGTTTGTATAACACTACAGTCAATTGGGGAGAATGATTATGGTAAAAACCGGTCACTCAAAGCTTTTTACTTTTTTGAGGCACTTTATGATCATTTTGAAGCGCAATTTTGTTTCGGGCCTCAAAATTATACCATATCACAGACACTGAAAACACATAGGCCATGCATCTCAGATTTAACATTGTTAAACGATGCCTTTAATATTATTATCGTTATTATTGTCATGATTATTATCATCATCATAATCATTTTTAATGTATCAGGTCATGCTGCATTCACATTATTGTGTTAGGTATTATTTTGTGTACAGAAATTTAGTTCTAAAACATTACGAAAAAAATCATCTCATGTAGGACGTAGGCGAAATAACATCTAACCCCCAGAATACGATGAGTAGAGGCATGCGAAAGTCAATTGCTTGAGACACATTGAAATTTGTGATAAAATTGATATACTAAAATATAGGTAAAAAGTGAAATAAGAATATATGCTGGGTAACATATTAACCAATATACGGTAAACAATAAACAGGCATATTCACCCTGGGGGTGTTTCACAAAGATCTTAAGTAGAACTTAACACTAAGTTGGACTTAAAAATTATGGACAGCCATTGGAGCCTTAAAATTAAATATATTCAAAAGCAGAAATTCAAGTATTTAGACTTTTTATGAATTCCACATCCAGAACATGAAGTCTCCTTGATGATAGAAAATATGAATGATTTGAATCAACATTTTATGCCTTTCAAAATAACTTTTACAAAATATTTTCAAAGATGCTAATGGCTTTCCATAATTTTTAAGTCCAACTTAGAGATAAGTTCAACTTAGGATCTTTGTGAAATACCCCCCTGGTTTTACTAAACGTTGGGGAAGTCCTTTTACCAAAGTGTTTTTATAGCAATAGCACACATCACACAATAGTGCCTTGAACGAGTTTTCATTGGACTGGAGCAATACAATCAATCGTGTTGGTATCATGGATAACAGTCATAGGTTTATGATCCTATGTGTCGTTTGAGCAAAACCTATTTTTTGTCTTACTTGTTTCTAATTTGCAATCAAGTTAATTTGTTTTTGGTTGGAATTAACTTCAACAGTAGACATGGTAAATGACCATACTACCTGTTATGTGATTGCATATGAAAAAGGAAATATCTCAATGTTAAAGTGTTTATAGAACATATTAATTTCAATTAATTTGAGTTAATTGCTGGAAAATCCTTTACGTTGAAAGCAACGCGTAGAGTTTGTCTGCGGTGTGGCATCTAAACTAAAGTACCCTTGCCATTTATATTATGACTTGAAAATCCGTAAATATGAATATATTGCCACATACCCTCAGTAACTTTGTCATGTGTGATTGTGTGTAGTTATATACCACCCATCAACTTTGTTATCTGTTTGATTTTTGTCTATGTGAACCATCCATACGTGTTCCTACACAAAAGACTAGGTTTGTTTGAACAAAATATTCGCTTTACTGGTTCCAAACCCTGGAACAATTCAAATTGCTGTACTAGAGCATGATTATATTTTATATATATGTGTGTATGCATGTGTGTATGCGTGTGTGTGTGCCATTTATGCACAACATATTTCGTGGCATATGATATCTCCCTCTTTTTTCAATTTTTGTTTTCTGTTCCTTTCCTATAAAATAAAAAAATAGTTTAGGTTATGATAGACATCATCAAAAGCCTCGAGCTCTTATAGAATATCGCCGCATTCCTCCAAATGTCAATTTCATTTTTATTTATGCGATGATTAAGGTATTTTTTATTTAAATCTGAAAATTTTGCTAGTCCTTTTTCAGTTCAATAAGCCCAAATGTTGAATAGGAAAAACTGGAAACAACCAAAACGGAAAATAAACTCACACTCGATATTAAAAGTGGGAGCGGGGTATACAACTATTAAGCTACATTCCTTTGTGTCTCTCAAATGTGCAACTGCTTAACCTTTGGTTTGGGTGTGGGATCAGTAGAATATTGTATTTAGTATCAATATTTGGAACAATATATCTATGTTTAAAACAAGAATTTCCAATCACATTTTTAATAAAGGGTAAAATATCATTTTGCTGTAAAAACATATTTCGTTTTGTCACGTCGTCCTGCTATATAAAAGTTAATTTAATGTGACATTTCATGTTTATATAATGATTATATATACTTTATATGCTTAATGTTATGTATTGCAGTCATACGCAACACTTATTTGAGATTTGCTTTTTTATAGAAAATTGATATCATTGCTATCATTACTAGTATTATTATTACTATAATTATTATTATTATCATCATCATCATTATCATCATCATCACCATCATTATCATTATTTTCATGAACACCATCCGGCAATTTTCATACTCTTGGCCAAGTATGATATAGTTTATAAGTTTCTTTTTTTGTGTTATTGATTTTGCCATATTTATGACGGGCAGTCGATATTCAAAGGAGAAAAATATTTTTGTTCTGTTACTCTCATATGTGCAAGTGCTTAATTTTGCTTACCAGTGTGGGTTTAGTATGATGCACACCTCCATGGTTCATCTTGGGAACGTTGGTGCTTCGTTGATCATACCAGGACGGAGCGGGCCTGTTCCCCCAAATCTCTCCCGGTGACTTCTCCTGGTTACCCGCCCGCAATTGGCCCAACCTTGGGGTTGACAGGTCTATTGGACCATCCTCTGTATCTGATGGAGAAAAAATGGAAAAAAAATGAATAAGAAACGCATTTTCAAACGTAGGGAATTCATTAAATTATATAACTTTCAAACATAGCGTTGATTTTTCTTCAATACTAAAAATACAGTTATAAAGAATGGTCGAATTTATGTTTTTATAGATTCTTTTTCTTCAGCAAATAGATTGCAAATAAAAGTAAAGTATGTAGACAAAAAATGATGAAAATGAAGAGGAAATGCATATTAAAACGCAGGGAATTCAGAAAATGTTATTTATTTCGACCATAACGTTGGTGTTTCTCCAATAATAAAAATACAGGTATTTATCTTTAAAAAGAATTGGCGAATTCATGTTTTCATAGATACTTTTTCTCCAGCGAATAGATCGCAAATAAAAGTTAGGTATGTAGACAAAAAAAATGATGACAATGTAGAGGAAACGCATGGAATTCAGTCAATTTTATTTATTTCGACCATAACGTTGATGTATCTTCAATACTAAAATCGGCAAGGGTTCCGAATAGGGTGTTGAACACGGGACAAAATTGTGCAATAATTCATTTTGCCCGCTCCCCCCCCCCCCCCGACCAAAAAGAAATTATAACTATAGTAATAATAATAATGATAGCAATAAATAATTGGACAAAAAAAAACATATATAAGAAAATAGGAAGAAATTAAAATCTGAATGAATACGGAATAAATAGATAATATAATCTATAATGTGAGGAGTTTGAAAAGTAAAGAAATATATACAAATATAAACAAATATGGAATAGATAAACAAATAAATGCATACATTAATAAATAGAAAAGTAAAGACATGGATAAATAGATAAATAAATACAAATAAATGAATGAGAAAAGAAACTTGTATATTAAATGTAGCTTGTTTGAGAATCGTGGGTAGGGGTGAGTCACACAGGTGAATTTAATCAATGCCTTCCTTTTAAGGCAATATTTCTCTTTTTAATTCGTCCACACCATCATAAGAAGAGAATAAGAAATTAAAGTGTGATAAAAACTCACATTTCCGAGAAATCAACAAACAAAACGTTTTGTTTTAAAGGAACATAAATTCTACAAATTTGAAATATTTCTATCACATTCTGACATGATAATATCAAAAATCATGTTTCGTATTTTATTGTTATTTCTGTGATGAAGGCCTAATAAAACGTGTAGACTAAACGTTCTAATATATGAATGTATTGTGACCAGGCCTGAGAAGAAGAAGTCGGATTCTGGTAAGCTTGTTGTACTATTCAAAGCGTCATGTTTACAAAGTCTGCTTTCAACATAAAGGATTCTTTTTCTTCATCAAATAAATCGCAAACAAAAGTAAAATATGTAGGCAGGCAAATTGAAAGCTTTAATTTTAAGGTTATTAAAAGAAAGAAAGAAAGGTTTTGTGTAATTATAACAGAAGAAGAAGGAAGGAAAGACAGAAGAAAGGGGAGGTGGGGAAAAAGAAAAAAAGTAAGGACAAAAAGAAAAGACAAAACAAAGAAAGAAATAGATTAGAATAGTAAGAGTACTGTAAAGAGTAAAGGACGTGGAGTTGGGAGTGATCGGTGTGAGACGGGAGGGACAGTAGTATCGAACTAGTGACGTTTGGCAATAAAGCATGATATGTTGTATCACATCCAAGAAATACTAAAACAATGACAACATGTCTATTTAATCTAGAACAAGTCTTTAAATTAGTAAACTTAGGGTGTGTACAAAAAAATGTTTAAATGTAAAAAGTTTTCCAACCCCTATTCTTAGAGTAAATCACACTTTTATTTTTCATTGCGCAATACACAATGTGTTTGATATCCACCTTTCATATATGTATTAAACAGGTTTATAGTCATTATAAAGATTACATCAAATGAAAGATCTTTATCCGAAAATAAACATTTGGACAACATACTTAAGGTTATACTTTTTTGGTTTTGTACATTCTCTCAAATTTGGGGCAGGGTATGACATTTCTAGTACTAGCAGCTTTTACTACCGCGTGAATGTATACATCATACGTCTAGCTGTTTTGGGCTACTTCCACTAACAATCATGGCAATGGTGCTCGAACACTTCGAAACACAAAACCAAGGATATCGGAACGTTAAGGCCAAAAAGCCATTAAGCCAAAATGACAAACCAGTGGTGTTTGTTCTGAATTACTGCTTGGTTTAACAAACCTTCTAAACAGAGAGCTACTATAAGACAGTGTTATCTGTGTAACGCTATATTTGCTTCCCGATGACTTGCTCGTTTTTAAACCCGACATTCCCGAATTCGTTTGATGAACCGTTTTCAATTCCATGAAAAAATGTTTTAAGAAAAACATGTTGTCCAATGGAATGGCAGACTATATGGAGGTTTTGCCTAGCCACAAAAATATTCTTCCTTTTTTTCTCGACGAACTGAACGAAAATAACACGAAGTGTAGGTATAGCGTTTGGTGTGTACTGACACTACCAAATAGGGGAATCATATCTGCGTACACAACGCAAGGTGTAGAGGATGTTAAACCGAAGGGGGAGCCGAAAACCAACTGGTAGGAGAACATAAAGTCATGGGGTTGTTTCGCAAAGCTCCTAAGTCGAACTTAACTCTAAGTTGTACTTAAAAATTATGGTGAGACATTTGTAAAATAAAATATATTCAAAAGCAAAAATTCAAGTAATTTAGTCTTTTCATAAATTCCACATCAAGAACATGAATCTCCTTAGGAAAATATGAATGATTTAAATCAACATTGTATGCCTTTTAAAAATAACTTTTCCGAACTATTTCAAAGATGACGGCTTTCCATAATTGTTAAGTCCAACTTACAAATATCTTCAACTTAGGATTTTTGTGAAAAACCCCCAGGGGAATGTTTCACAAAGCCTAAGATCGACTTTAAGTTTGACTTAACTATGGTAGGCCATTCTTGTCGCTGGGTGCTCTCACCATTGGTCTCTCAATTATGATCTTTACACAATATTTTTTCCTTCAATAATGAACTATCAAAATATATACATTCTGTAGATTTGTGACCATGATTTGTACGTCCCTTAAAGGCCCACTGCACTACTTGTAGCTACTTGCGCCCTCTATATAACAAACAATGCCTAAGCGGTGACCATTGGTCCCCATGATCCTCTTTTTCTTATGTTAACTGAGAGCTGAGTTGACGAGATAACCACCTGTCCAGTGACCTTGCAGGGCAGTTTAATCCCTCCTGTAAACTACGGCAGATAAGCTTTAAGAGACCAATGCCATTAAATGGTGAGAGCTAACAGTGGCATGAACGGCCTGCCATAGTTAAGTCCAACTTAAAGTCAATCTTAGCCTTTGTGAAACACCCCCCTGGAGTGAAATGACAATATGATAGTGTACTGAATTTGCAGATAACAGAGATATGTGGGAAGATGTTGCAACCGACTACCCTCCGAGCTGGGAGAAAGTACCAGGACAGATGGATATATGGATCAGATGGGAGAGGTACGCCACAACAGTCAGTAGAGCGTCCGCCTCACAACCGGGAGGTCGTGGGTTCGAACCCCGGCCGCGTCATACCAAAATACGTTAAAAGACGGGAGTTGCTGCTACCTTGTTTGGCGCTCAACAATAAGGGATAGAGCAACGTCGATCTGGCGCTGCTCAGTGGCTGCCGGGCTCACGATCAATTGGGCAAAAAGAATTTCCATTTTTGGTTTAATTTAATAAAATTTGGAGTGGACTTTAAAAGATTATTGTTATTTTCATCATTATTATTATAGGGTGGGTTGGGAACACCGAGGTATGTTGTTGAAGGCTCTTGATAATGATAATAATGATACTAATAATGATAAACCAATAATGATTATAATAATAAAAGTAATAATGATTATAATAAATGAGAATAATTATACTAAAAATAATATTAGGCATTTGTACTGTGCCATCAATCTAGAGTTTCTATCCCGAGACGCACAAGGAACATAGAAAAGAAATAGAAGCCCAACAAGTGGCATTTCCTCGTGTCAAGCATTCTGAAAATGTATTATTCAACTCAGACTTCAAACTCTCTAATGATATTGTAGTTTTCAGCTCCAAACGTAAGATGTTCCATATAAAGTTATGTGGTAATCAAATTCCAGGGCCCTCTTGAAGAGCAGTGTTGGAAATGAAGTGGCCACCTGGACTATCAGGATTACTTGATTTTGTTACTACCGTTGTTGTTGTTTTTGCTGTGGATATCATATTTTTTTTTTGGTGATGGTTATTTTCCCTGAGTGCTCCGAAATCATAAATGCTGGTTAGTAAGCAACCAGACGGCTGACGGCTTTAGGTCCTCTCCGAGAGACCTGGTAATGAGGATTAATGCCTTACCAAAGGGCACTACATAGCGAATCGACTTGGTTTCGAGCCCGGGTCGCCGGATTACGAGACCACTGCTCTACTAAAAGATACTTTTATCGTTATCGCATCATCATGTATTGAGCGCTATATAAAAAACCGGATTATTATTATTATTATCATTGTTATTATTGTTATGATTATCATCAATATCATTATCATAATCGTCATCATCATTTTCATTATACGCCACTGTTACTCATTATGGTAAATCAAAGCAGGGTTGAATTCTTACCAGATTCGACGTCGTTACTACTACTCTTGTTGTTGCTGTTTTTGTTGATGCTGTGGACATTATTAGTAGTATTATCATTATTACATCATCATTGTTATTATTATTATGATTATTATCAATATCGATATCATTATCAAAATCGTCATCATCATTTTCATTTTAGGTCACTGTAACTCATTATGGTAAATCAAAGCAGGGTTGGATTCTTACCAGATTCGTTTAAATATCGCCCTTCCTCGGAAGCGGTGGTTCCCATCGATTCGTCTTCACACATATCCCCAATGTTTGACATGCCAGGGTATTGTACAGCGGGGGCGTTACTCCGTATAAGAAAAGTACGAGGCATGGTGGCAACATCCGCCTCCTTTGAATTACAGGATAAGTGACGAAATTTGTCTTT